CAACTCGAGGCAATTGATGTGACTGCAAGCCCGTCGAACGTGGCCCCCCAGCCGGTGGTTGAGGCATCCGTGTGAACCACAGCATGCCTGGAGACCTGTTCTAGGGTCACTCCTGCCCGGAGAAACGCCAGGTCTGACCACGGGGTGAAGGTTTGGCGGCAGGCCGGTGTGACTTGGACTTGGACCTGCTCTTGAACATATTCAAGCAGTTCAACACCGACTGGGCCAGTATGAGCCAGTCGTCGAGGTAGTTGAGAATGCAAATGCGAATGCCCTGTTCTCTCAGGGGAACAAGGGCCGCCTCCGCAACCTTCGTGAAAACACGGGGCGACAGGGACAGCCCGAAGGGCAGGACCTTGTACTGATATGCCCGTCCTTCAAACACAAACCGCAGGAATGGCCTGTGGCACGGAAGGATCGACACATGGAAGTACGCATCCTTCAGGTCGATCGCTGCAAACCAATCTTGGGGATGGAAGCACCTGAAGATGCGCTTCTGCGTGAGCATCTTGAACGGGGGCTTGTGAAGAGCTTGGTTGAAGAGATCCAAAATTGGTCTCAACCCACCGCCTTTTTTGGGCACAATGAAGTAAGGGCTGAAAAACCCCGTCCTCAAATCGGCTGGAGGGACCGGTTCTATCGCATCCTTCGCCAGTACGACTGCGATCTCTGCATGCAAGACAGGGGTATCTGCTGCCTTCACCGAAGTAAAGTGGACGCCCCTGAACTTGGGAGGGCGCCGGGCGAACTGAATCGCATAGCCGAGTCTGATGGTCTGACGGAGCCAACGAGACAGACTGGGAAGCGCTAGCCAGGCTCCCAGAAACCGTACAAGTGGCACCAATGGAGGGGGAACGCAGGGACCCGGCCCGGGCGTCTCGTTGCCGATCCAAAGCGGGGTCAGCGTGTGTGCAACACTCACCTGCGTTCGGGCAGAGGGTATGTGAGTAGTATTTTTGACCGCACTCTGGAACCGCCCACAGATGCTCACTGGCGAGAGAGGAGGGTGAGTGTGAT